AAGCTGTTTGCTGCAAGGGCATCGATATCATCACCACCACCACCACCGTCATCCTTATAATAATTTTGCTGAGATGGGCAGATCTAACCCGTCTCACACCGTGCAATCTGAATTCTCTGCTCGCATTACATCAACTTGGAGTTTTGTCCAAAAACGTCAAATTTAGCGGTGGTTACCTGGGAATCCACGCCCGCAAAACAGCTCAAGGCTGGTCCCGCATTACAGGGTTATAACAGAGTTAATGCGCTGCCTTAACTCGTCTGGCAGCAACAGGCTTGGGCCTAAGTAATTACGTTTAGGGCATCTAAATTTACGCCTAATTTTTTCTTATTTTTTCCCTCCATCGGAATTCTGCCTACGCGCGGGGGAGTGTATTAGGGGAGATGTATTTCCCAGCGGTGGAGTGTCGCCGTTTATCTGGCTATCGGGGAAACGCTGTGCCAGAAAGTAATTTTGCCATGCGCGCTAGTGTCGGGGAGATAAGCGCGCGAGCGCCCGGCCGGTCGAGGGAGAGAGAGGGGGCACCCCCAGCGTTAGAGATAGCAGCCGGGTGAGGGATCTTTCCGCATTTACATTTAGATGAGTATTGATCGGCCGCCGGGGTGTTGCCGGCGCTGGGAGGGCTATCGATTCACGGCTGCGCGGACCGAGCGTCTGCGGGCGGTCGGGGGGTCAAGAGCCCCTTCCTGCCGGCCGCGACGCGCGGCCGGCACGCGGCTGGCGCCGCGTGCACGCGCGTTTCTGCTCCGAGAACGCGCGCACGCGGACTTGCACGCGAGCACTTTTTGGAACGTGTCGCAGCCCTCTTCCAAGACCAACAGCAAGGGGTGGAATTTTCACGACCCCCAAGTCCCGCCGCGCGTTGGTCTTTGCGGTTGCGCGTGGTGAGAATGCTGCGCCGACTCCCCCCCCCCCCCCCCCCCCCCATCGCCTGTCTAATAAGTCCAGGACTGAGACATTCCTCTTCTGTACGCCTTTAATACTTCCACCACTGGGGTTGTTGATCCTTTGGAAAGACTTGGCCCCCACCATAGAGATGTGGAATGTTAACTACCACGGAGTTGGAATTGAACTGGATGAGTTTACAGCCTTAACCCAGTGTGCATATTAGCAAGGAGGCACTGGCTTTTTTTTGCCATAAAGGATATAACACCGATTGCTTTTCACTCCCCGTGCTGGGAGCTTTTTCAGTTCCTGTTTCAAATACAGACGCACAAGGGTATACTGTAGTATACAAAGACAACAAAGACCCCCGTGCCGCCTTAACAGACTGTAGGAGCAAGTGCTGTTCGCGAGTAGCGCCCAGTAAAGGGTGGCACGGCACGTGAGTGGGGTGGGTGGCCAGCACCACGCGCGGCCACCTTTGTCTCTCGAGTGGCAGTGTTTACACGCCGCACCAGGTACTCGTTTGAGGCTGTGGGTATGCAACACGCAGGTGTGCATGTACTCAACATATTTGCGTGACAAACCGGAATACCGTATGCGTGTACCCCAAGTGTGTATTGGTGCAAAAAACATGCACACCCATACACTCAAACTCTTTCAGTTCCTGTTCTGAATACATATGCACACAAGTACATAAACGGAGACAAAGAACCGCAGAAAGTCTTTAACAGACCGCTGGGGAAAGTGCAGTTAGCGAAGGCCGGCACAGCGTACGAGAGGGTGGGTAGCCAGCACCACGCCCGACCACCTTTGTCCTGTGGTGATGTTTACACACCGCACCAGGTGTTCATTTTATTCTGAACACATCAAGTATATATATACACACACGCGCGTTAATATATGTACAATCGTATGCACAAAAGGGCACCATGATGTTGATGTGTACACATAAACAAAGGTTGTTTCTTACGAGCACTAAAGCAGTGGTCATCCCCTGTTTCCATTGCTGAGCCAGTGGTGGAATTTCTACCTTCCTATGGCAGGGGCGAGTTTATCCAAAGGACAACCACCCACAGAGTGATATTCATCTGTCGACCCCGGGGAGGGGGGGGGGGGTTGATGGGCCGACCTGACCACCAACATACGGCTCTTCCACCAAGCGACCTGGGAGCATCACCGTATGTCGTTTGCTAACAAACTATTATCGGTTTACTTGGGAGTATTTGTGTTAAGATTATTAATCTATCGCGCGCGCGCACGCACGCGCGCGATCGTTGCTGAAGCCACGGAGGGTAAATGATGCGCGGCCGTGCGTGGACCAACGGGGGCTTGGTTCCATTTATTTTGCCATCGATTGCACGCGCCGTCCATTTGCCTAATGCTCGGCCGTGGTGGTGCGAGGCGCCGCTAAATGGCTCGCCCTCCTTCTCACGGGTGTCGCGGCCATTAACAGGCCAATTATTACGTTCGGCGGAATTGTGTGCATTTTTTTTTATTTGTTACAGGTGTCGGAAATGATTTTCGCTTGAGCGTCTTGTTTGGCGAATAATTCGTTTCGACTGGCCCTCCGTCCTTCTTTAAAAAAAAATGCTTTTCATTTGCAGTGAAATGTTCGCTTGCAAAATCTGCTAATGATCTTGGAAGAATTAATAATTTACCATGTTATGGTTTGGAGTTATAAAGTACCGCATTATCTTGTCTTCGTGGGCCCACTATATACTATATATGCATGCGTTTAATTGTTTCCAGTGGATTTTATTTTCCAAGGAGAACCAGTGCCCTCTACTGGTCTGGTATAGCAGTTGCCAGCCAAACATTAGCAGAATCCTCACGTGAATTTGAAAACTTAAGATTCCTTTTCGTTTATTGGAAAGCAACACTATGCGACTCGGCCACACAAACTCGTGCACTGGCACGTACGCATGAACATGCACGGAACGAGTGCAAATACAAACACCCCGCCCCCCCCCACCACCACACTTATGGATCGTAATTGATATTTGGGTGAGATCGCCACGCAAGAAGCAAAATGTGTGTCGTACACCCCTCCTCCACCCGACGCAGCCAAGGAATAAATGTGTCACGCCATGAACAAACGTGCCAATTTATTACGGCTTTCAGCAGCACCACACCGGGTGTGTGGGGGAGAGCGATCCGCAACATTGGGTTGGACGCTTCCCTGGTAGTTACAACCAGCAACATCAGGCAGTTGCCAGATGTATCAGATTTGTGGTGGTGCTGCCGAGTCACTAATAAGTTGGCACGTTTCTTCACGTGGAAACTTTGTTCGTTGGCTGTGAGCGGGGGTGGGGGGGAGTGTACAAAAACACATTTGACTTGCGTAACCAAACCCTACAAAAGTCGGGGTCACGAAAGCCTACACATTAGATATGCCCCATAGATCCCAAAGGATCGGGGGGGGGGGAGGCGTGATGTTTGTGAGAATCCATGAATGCAATTTTTTTTCAAGCATATATAACCTGTTAACAAACAAACTCAACACGTTCATCAATAACACCGTGGCCCGCAGAGGAAAAATATAATATAGGTGACGTTTCGGGCAATGGGCCTTCTTAATAGCCCGTGATAAAGAACGCCAGAAGAGAGACCGTGGACAATTACAGTTGGAAACTCCACATGGCACCATTCGGCCTGATGAGAAATATACAAATTGTTTAATTTGGCATGTGAATATTTCCCCATTAGTGGCTATTGAGTAACAGAAACACCCTTCAATAAGCAGTCGCCTCTTGTATTTGGTATATTATTTTTACTTCTAAGGCCCACAGTATTATTGACAAATGCCAGTTTGATGTTACTTGCACTTGTTCACCACTACCAGTGGAGCACCGACAAATAATTAACAACCTATATTATCATAGTATGTTTTTTGTTTGCATTTTGACTGCAGGTATTGTGGTTAATGAGACATAAATCCTTGTAAAAAGGTTTCAGTTTTGTTGCCAGAAAAAGGGGAAAAACCCTGCTATTACATTTTGGTACTGGCAAAGGAGGTCTAATGATGATCTATCGGTGGGCTGCTTTGAGCTCAGAAGTGCAAAATGTGTGTCGTACACCCTCCTCTACCCGACGCAGCGAGAGACAGAAACAGGAACCACATGCATTAGAAGCCGTCTGCACGTTAAAGGCGCCATTCGGAGGAGCACGTGGGCGATGAAGGGGCACGCATCACTGGGGAGGGGGGGGGTGTGATGATAACCAGTGGGGGCGAGAATAACAACGGAGTGCCAGCTGAAGGCGGAAACGGCGCCCGGGGGGGAGGTTCCACCGCGGAGATGGAGTGGTGAATTCAGCGGGAGCTGGATAAGATTGTGACGAAGGCTATACAGGGGATCTTTGTCTTTGTTGCTCATTGTGGGATCGCCGCCGCACTGCGGGGGAAACTCTTTTCGGCATGCGTGCGTGCATTTGGGGAGTGGTCGTGTTGTGGTTGGCACGCTGCGCTATGAATCCCAGCAGTCACAGTTCGTTTCTCGCTCACGACCAACACCGGTGACGATTATCTAAACTAGTCCTGGGCCTCCCCTAGGTCGACTCTGCCTCAAATGAGTACCTGGTGGGATTTGTAAACATCGCCACTGGGGAGTCAAAGGTAGTCGGGGCTTGGTGCTGGCCACTCACACCCTCGTGTACCGTTCCGGCCTACATAGGTGCTCGCTAACAGCACTTGCCCCAACAGTTTGTTAAGAATATACGGGGGATCTTTGTCTTTGTGTGCAGCTGATTGGCTCATAAGTGACAACATCACATCCCTCTAAGTCTGAAAGAGGAGGATTTCTCCACAAATCTGGCTGTCGCCTGATGATGCTGGTTGTGATTGCTGGTTGTAATTACTGGCTTAATGTCGTACTCTAAGCGGAAATGGTGTGGGTTTACTCTCCAGTACACCGGTGTGCTGTACTAGAAACGAATTGCGCGTTTTGTTTACGTGGCAAACCTTACTAATTGGCTGTGTAGGGTAGTGGTGGGTTTAACGACACCATTTATCTTTCCACGATCTAACCCAAAAAACCTCTTATGGATATTGGTCGCGAAAGCCTATAGTATGAAACCAACGCATGGTGTGTGTGTGTGTGTGCGTGTGCCCTGTGCAGGGCCTCAGTATCGGCTGGAGAAGCAGAGCGCACCCAACGTGGCTGTGGACCTCGACAGCAGCCTCGAGTCCCAGAACAGCATGGAGTTCTGTCTCGTGCGTGAAAACAGTGAGTCGCCACGTACCGCCAGCGTCGCCTGCGGCGTCGCGCGCGGCGTCGAGCGAAGCTGGTCTTCCTTCGTGTGGCCTATGAAGATAAACTGTTCAGAGATTCACCCCGGAGGTGATTTCAGCCACTCGGTTGCTTTGTCTGAGAGTTGGAATTTCGGATGCACGACATTTCTTTGACGCATATTTCGAGCAGTGCGTCCAAGTGAATGGGGGGAGATCTCTGTGGGGAGCGGAGAGTTGGGGCGGTGAAACGACGCTGGAAGAGGACACTGCAGATCTCCTTCTGGGTGTGCAGCGATTGGTCGATTCGTCAATTAAATTGGATTTGTATGCTCGTCGTAAGAATCCATTAATTATTATTGTATGTAGGTGATATGCAAATGATGGGCTAATGGTAACAGGTCCCTGCAGGGTGGGCTGGTAGGACAAGTCTCTGCGCTGTCTATTGCTGATTTTACACCCAACAGCACGAGATTTCACTTCGTTGAAGTTTTGAAAGGGGCCAGACGGACGGACACATTAATCTATTGCAGGCTGGTACACTCAGTTTACAACTTCGTTCCTACCAGTATAATCTGCTAATAGACCGAACAAAACTGTACAAATGAACACAAATATTAACAATACTTGCCAGTAATAGCCAACCTGGAATCGAATTGCCACCCCCAATCTTCACAATTGAGTCACCAGGGAAGGGTGCCACGTCGCATGCCTTACCTGTCAGCCATCACTCGGAACGCGTCCTCCAGCAACAACAACAACAGGAGTCAGAGCAGCGGCGTCCACGAGCGTCGGGCAGCTAAAAGGCAGCGAGTTGGCAGCGTGGAGAGAGCGGGGGGGTGCGTCTGCCACTCGCCTTGCCTGGTCTGTCCACCCATAACGCTCGGTTCTGCGCCCTCGACCTCTTGCCAGCGAGCCTCTGCCGCTCCGCGTTACGTCAACCGCGCACCTGGCCCGGCGCAAAACGCGAAGCCCGCATCCCCAACCACAGCATGCCCAAACAGCTTCTGTTTGACAGGATAGAGGGGGCTAGACGGGCACAGCACGGGCTAGAGAAAAGACGGGTTGATGCGGTACAGGAAGCTGTGGAGCCGAAAGGACTTGCCGATGGCCGACTGGTACCAACGGTGTCAAGATCGGCCTCTGGAGGAAGAGGCTCGTGAAGGACGCTACTGGGCAGTTGGAGGCAGTCGCCATCCAGCAACAACGAGTGGAGGGCCGGACAGATTAAACAAAGCAAGTTGGCACAGTGGGGAGCACAGGTGGGGTGCATTTATCAGTCAATACATGGCACCTGGGTCTGTCCCGTGACCTCCTGACAACAAGCCTTCGACACTGAGGGGCCTCATTGTTCACCTAGCCTGGCACAGGTGCTATTGGTAACGTCACTTCCACCGAGTGACGAACGGTGGCTGTTATTGTATCTGCGTGGTATAGGGTGGTGTGCGAGATGAGAGAGCGTGGCACGTGTTGTTTGAGTGCGTCATGCGGTGCACTACATGTGGGTGTGTACGCTTGCTGTATATCGCGCATGCACCTTTACTTGTGTGCCTGATGTGCAAATGGGTGTGTCATTTTCATTTGGGGTGGCGTGTTTGTAATATGTTCTGTGTGCACATAATGAATAGCTGTGGAAAATATGTGTGTGTGTGCCCGCGCGCATGTGTCACATACGTTGGTGTCGCGGTTAATGCACTGCTCTACGAACACCAGTGGAGATTATCTGAACCGGTCCTGGGCTTCCCCTAGGTCGACTCGTTCTCAAATGAGTACCTGGGGCGGTGTGTAGTAAACATCGCCACTGGGGAGACTAAGGCGGCCGGGCGTGGTGCTGGCAACCCACCCCCTCGTGTGCCGTGCCGGCCTTCATAGGTGCTACTCGCTAACTGCACTTGCCCTCCAACGTTGGCGTTAAGGCTGTACGGGGGATCTTTTTGTCTTTGTCGCATACATCTGTCATTCGCGCACAAATGCGCGCGGTGCCTGTGCTTGGCATGTGTTGCATACAATCGTCTTGCGTGCAGCAATCACAAGCCGTGTGGCCGTAATTTTGAGCTGTGCGCGTATTCGCCACGGGAAACGCGCGCGCGCGCGCCATTATATCTCGCACCCTTTGCTCATCCACAAGATGAAATGGTGAGCTATTGAGACACGAAATAGCATCGCCTCTTTCGCAAGGGCCACCCCGGGTTTATTAACGCGCGCCTGCATCCTCCGCCGCTGCGCACGTGCGCAGGTTCACGCGGCAACGAGAGCCTGGAGGACGAGTTGCCGCTGGAGCTGGCCACGGTGCAGGTGTCTCTCAACAGCCACCAGTACAAGTCGTACCGTGTGAGCTGCGTACACAGGTTACGCATCCACACGGACGTGCAGCTCGGTGAGTCTGTGTGCCCCCACGCGCCTCTCTGCTCCCACCCCCACCGCCTCGCCACTCTGGCCCATCGCTTTGGGTTAGGGGCTGGTGACGTGCGACGGTAAGACCGTGTGATGGAGCAAATTCTGAGGGTTGGTTGTGGAGGGTCAGTAAAAAAAAAGATTGTGGAGTCTCTGTGCACGTGTCCATTGCCTATATTACTGCTTTTCTTGGAGCTCTCGGCTTCCTGATAGTCACTTGGCGAGTGGCACTGGTAAGGTCATGATTTATGCAAGGTTTCTCGGTTTAAATATCCCAGAATGCATGGCTTGTTGCTGTTGCCATCTCTGTCTTCTGCTGTAGCAATCTCTGTTCTTATGTGCCTGGTCCCACATTTAATAATCCCAAAATGCACTTCTAGTGCTGCACCCCAGGCAGCCCCCATTCATCATCGTCCTCCTTTGAGTGCCTCCCCACCGTGTGTAATAATCCCAGAATGCACCACTGGTGCTGCCCTGACATCATTTCAGTGTTAATAAAAATGTACCTCCCGTTGGACAATCCCATCATGTACCACTGGCTCCTGCCCCTTCATCTCTCTCCCACTGATGTATTAGACAGCCTGCTGCTCCTTTCAAAGTGATGCCCACTGCACGCAGCACAAGGATCATCATGATGCAAAGGCTTGGTTTGAAGGAAAGCCGCCAAACCCTGGAACCTGTGACTCAAGGACACTGACCAGTAGCCAATCGGTTCTGCTGCACTCTGCGTGCCCACCTGCATCAAGCAATTCCCAAGTTTAAAGTCACGCAAAGCACCTCAGATTTCTGCCAAAGTCTTGAGCATTCACGGTGGGATGACATGAGGACTTAGTTTTGAAATTACCTGCAGAACAAGGTTCCCTCGAGCAAATGTACACATTCATAAAGACAGATCTCTAATTTGGGGTAATGGACTTGCAGTGCATGTTCCATTAGTGGCTAATTAGATCTGGCATAGCAAATGAAGGGCGGGGGGGGGGGTAGTGTGGCCAGAACTATACCTGGCCCTCCTTTTTATTCCCACCGTTGATGTGCAAATCACTGCACCAGGTATTCTCAGTTTTAGGATGAGCAGACGCGCAGAGTAAGCCACTGCTAAATTCAGATACTAACTGGCCATGTGTGTTGTGCACCATGGACAGGAATGGAATCCAGGTTGCTAAAATTGTAGTGCCGTGTGCCAATCACTGTACCCACGTCCTGTACACATGCACATGCATCCAGTTATATGTAAACGCGCAAAGACAAAATATAGAGCCGTGGTGGCGAGATGTTAACTACCTCTCCTGGTATACAGGAGGTCGTAGTTTCGATCCGGACCTTGACGCCTGCTGTATATTTGTAGTTTGCGTGTTCTCCCTGTGGTAGCGTAGATTTTTCTCCCGGGTCCTCCAGTATTTCTCTAGATATTTGGAAACATGCGTTTAGGGTATCTGTAAAGGAGAGCTATAAAGCTCGGTGGGCCCTTACCTGGTTAAAGTAAAAGTGTATTTGTAGACTCTTTGTGCACGTTCTCTTCGTGGCACGGTACACTGGGGGTTGCAGCTTAGCCATCACTACACCCAGCCACTTTTGTCCCCATTACAGTTGTTTATACACAGCACCAACAGGAAGTGATGCGAGGTGGCTGCAACCTAGGGGAGGCCAATGGCAGGTTCAGGCACCCACTCGCCACCAATGATGTGCATGGCCGGTATTGAAACTAGCTCTCTGGGATCATAGCGTGCACATGCGTACACAAACATACACGCATGAGCACACACACGACACACATGTATATTTATATATATACAAAAACAAAGATCCCCCATATAGTCTTAACATACAGTTGGGGAAAGTTCTGTTAGAGAGCAGCACCTATGAATGCCGGGACAGCACACGAGGGGGTGGGTGGCCAGCACCACGTCCGGCTGCCTCAGTCTCCCTAGTGGCAATGTTTTAACGCACACACCAGGTACTCGTTTGAGGCTGAGTCGACCTAGGTGAGGCCCAGGACCGGTTCAGATGATGATCACTGGCAGTGAGTGGTAATTGAACTTGGGTCGCCGGGTTCGTAGTGCAGCATGCTAACCGCTACACTACCGCTCATTCACATGCATACACAGATGCACAAACACACGATGGTTCACACATGTACACACTACACACCAAGATCCCCTATATAGCTTATATGGACTGTTCGGCCAAGTACTGTTTGCGAGAATTAATGAAGGCCAGCACTGCACACGGATGGGGTGGTGTGGCCAGCACCATGTTTGTCCTCACCTTTGTTGCCCCAGTGCTGGTGCCTACGCATCTCACCAGGCACTCATTTCAGCCTTGATTTGACTTACGGAAGGCCTAGGACCACTTCAGATATCACTTGATGATCCCTGATCTTAGCCATGGCCTAGGAACTGGGCCCAGGTCGCCGGGTTCGTAGCGCAGTGCGCTCGCCGGTACACTGCGACGACTCAATTGCGCGCGCGCACAGTGTAGTGTTGGCGCGTTGACACGAACGTCGCCCCCCTGCTAACGGGGGGGGGGGGGGGGGAGGGGAGGGAGGGGGACTAAGAAAGTGCTGGGACACCGGGAGAGAGGGGAGTTGCCCCTCGGCCTCCGTGCCCCGCTCCCTGTGAGTAATGCGTCCGCCACCCGCCGCAAAGGTTGCGCTACATTAGGAGCTCGAGGACGCGAAGGAGCCGCGTGATTTAGGGGCCGGGCGAGCCCTCCCTGCAGACACCGCTGGATAGGTCGACGGCGTCTTCGGCGGTTGTGCTGAGCGTGCAGCGGCTCGTTCGGCGGCGGCGATAATAAAACGCTAATGGTGGCGATGGTAATCATCGTGCTCGCTCAGGAGCGTTAGGCGGGGGACCGTCCGGTCGCGCCGCTGTCGCGGTGCCCCCCTCTCTGCGCTCGCGCGCAGCGAGTGCGCCGACGGGCGGCACGCGGAAACACCATGCGGCCCTGCCTGTGCTCGCGTGTATACGTGTACGTGTGTTGAACTTCTTTTGGCACCGTACGTAGCCGACCGTGCTACTTGGAGGTGCGGGGCAAGGACGACAAGCTAAAACAACAAGCAGTTGTAAAGAAATTCGTTTTAAGTCGAGACAATCTTTTCAATCTCAGTCTCACGGTGTCGTGGCATGGTCACCGTTCGGTTTTCTCCTTCACAGCAGCTGATGGTTTGCGGAAGTTGATGTTGATCTCTGAATAGTGATAGCCGTTTATTTATACTTACAGCAGTGTTAAAAGGACACCTATATATAATGTACAATGTTTATTTTCTCTCTCCCTCTCTCTCTGATATTCTACCATACAATAGAGGTGTGTGCCAAAGTCAAAGTGTCTCTGTTTGCTTGTCTGACTCTTGATAGTCCCCACGAGCATATTGCCCTGGCGCCGGTCTCCGTCTGGTAGGCCCCGAGTCGGTGTTGTAGATTCCACATTCTCATTGCGAGGACGAGTATCTCTCCCAAGATAGGATCATCGGGAGGACCAGGATCTCCCCCAAGATAGTATCATTGGGAGGACCAGGATCTCCCCCAAGATAGTATCATTGGGAGGACTAGGATCTCCAACAAGATAGGATCATCGGGAGGACCAGGATCTCCTCCAAGATAGTATCATTGAGAGGACCAGGATCTCCCCCAAGATAGTATCATTGGGAGGACCAGGATCTCCCCCAAGATAGTATCATTGCAAGGAACCAGTATCTCCCCCAAGATAGTATCATTGCAAGGAACCAGTATCTCCCCCAAGATAGTATCATTGGGAGGACCAGGATCTCCCCCAAGATAGTATCATTGGGAGGACCAGGATCTCCCCCAAGATAGTATCATTGTGAGGACCAGTTCCTCCGTCACGATAGTATCATTGCAAAAGACGCAGTGTCTCCTCCAAGATGGTATCATTGCGAGGACCAGTTCCTCCCCCAAGATGGTATCATTGCAAAGAACCAGTATCTCCCCCAAGATAGTATCATTGCGAGGACCAGAGGACACGCCTCCAAAATAGGACTTCAAGTTGCGTGAATTCAATGATGTACAGGAAGCATGGTGCCGCCCGGCTGGATGTAACTGCGTAATGGGAAAAGAGCTTCGTGAACCCTTTTGAGAAGGGGGTGGGGGTGAAAGATGATTGTGGTTTTGTAGTTTGAGACCACATTTTCCAATATGCTGCTTCGAAAAACCTGGAATTTGGAAGCACAGTTGGGGCATTTTATTTGTTTATTTAGCAAGCAGATGTTACAGGCAATGGCCTTCATAAATAAAACGACCAACTTCTACGTTTTATTTTAAACAATAAACCAATGTGCATTGATAATCGAGTTCACTGAACGTAGGCGGACTACAGCTTTTCCTGAGAACAATGGCCTCTTTAATGTCGCACTGCTACCAGTTTGCACTGTTTGCTCTCGAGCGCAGTGATCAACCCTTTTCGGGTTTATTTTCTACACCGCCGCCAGCGCAATCCCGAAAGTGTTTATTTGCATTCAGCGGGCCCACCGCTCGTAAAAGGACGTAATGACTCTAAATTGGCTCTCACCTGGCCAAGTTAAAGACGACATCGATTGATTGAGTAGCTCTGAGCGGCGGGGAGAGGGGGGGGCGCGGCTCGGCCGAGCGGGCAGCTTCCGCGGATTTCCCCACCCCCCCCCCCCTACTACTGATGTCCCCTGAATGATGGGCCTTTGGTGACCTTGGCGCTGGTGGCCAGGTTCTGACTAATGGGGCAGCCGCTCCGTGAGCCGGAAAATAAAACAAAAGGGCTTCACCTCCCCGTGTCTTGACCGCCACTTATTTGTTTCCTGCCTGCAGTCCCCCGACTTGTTTTATTGTTTTTTTGTTTCATTACACTACTATCATTATTTTTTCCGGTCGGATGCCTTGCACCGCTCTCGCCGCGGCGCTGCTGCGCTAAACAATAATAAATAAATAAACCCTCACGGGGATATTTGGACAGGGTCAAGGTGTGTAACGCAAATTAGAATTATTGTGAGTTGTAGTGTTTGCTTTCAGGTTTTGTGTACGTGCGTGTAATATTTTTTCACTTAAATGTAAATGCATTTTGGAAATGGTGGCGTGTCAGGCTGAATGATCAAATCGAAGCACCTGATGAAATCCTGGATTTTAAAGCTGGGCTTTAAGCCACCAGTGATTACACCAGGTTCTCAAACGTAGTGAATTGATCGCTTTCGCCCAGTCACCAATGACCACGCAAACATAACCATCATCGCCTGAATACGGACGCTTGTGTTGCGACCGAAACATCGTGTTTTCTTTTGTTATTTTTTTTTCTATTTATGTGACTTTACCGAAAGAACCAGAGCATATGGATTCCTGCAGTCACGAAAGTTTCAAATCAAGACATAACCATCATATACAGTTTTTATAATAATCGGCCAACCCAACTCTACAGGATGACATTTGAAAAAAACTATAAATCAAACGACCAAACTACTGGGAACCACGGATAACGTCTGGCCCATGGGTCCACCTTGATATAAGAGTGATTGGTTTGTAATGTGACATTGTTCTGTCTTGCCACTTCTATGTGGAAGGTTGCACTTTCTATACTACTTCTGTCTGAAATTCCTATCCTCTGGCTTCCATGCCTAGACTCCCTTATTGTTGAAGTAAGGCTCATCACTCTCCCTCTTCGGCTCGGCATACGACCGTGCCGAGGAATGTCTCCCGTACTATTACATGAAAACATTTACGGAACTTTATCCATCCGCTGCTGGATTGAGAACGCCTCTGCAAGCTGTGTTGGTCGGCTCAAATGCACCACGCTGGTCAGCGCGTATTGGTGCAGCGGGGAGTGGGCAGGGAGCCAATGCTGGTGGAGATATCACTCGCCGCTTTGCCACGGCCAGGAATAGAATTCGTAGTGTCCTGTGTGTACCGCTGAGCCACGGCTAACACCCCTGCAACAAGAAAATTAGCGGAAAATACGCCCACACAAAATGCAAGTTTTTTTTTTACACATGCCATCAGCCACATGACCTTGGAGTGCAATATTTCAGCAGCAGTGGTTTACACTGGTTTGTCCACTCGCCGTCTCGTCAGCCGAGTCAGGCTTCATTAAACCAATGCTGCCGAGAACCACCAGATGTCTACAGGAAAGAACCCTCCTCTCTGTTAGGTATGGGTGCCCTACATTCTTGACGATAATGTCAACCCAGTCCCTTCTCGAGCCTGTAGAGTTGTTACACCCCTCTTTTCCTCCCTCTCGTGAAAAAAAACAAACACGTGGGCCCCCCCCCCATTTGCCTACTTTGTACCCCAGTCTCAAGACAAAGTCAAACGTGTCGATGCTTTAGTAATCCACCATTCCGTTGTAAATTGCCTCTGCTGGGGTAGAGGGTGGAAAACGCACGTCCGGATGCAAACGCAGCACGGGTGCATGCAGGCCGTGTAATGTTGCACAAAGCCCTTTACTCTCTCCTGCCTCGGCGTCTCCTTCGCCCCCTCCCCTGCACGCTGCAATGATAGCTCCCCCTGCTCCATACCCCCCCCCCTCGCCCTTTCCCACGACGCTCCAACATAATCCCCGCTGGTAAATGGAGTGCTGCTTGCGCTGCCACTTCTCGTTTGGGAGGCAGAGGAGCGTGCTCCAGCCGCGCACGGCGGAGAGGGTGGCCCTTTGTGTGTGTGTGTGTTCGTTCGCTCGCACGCGGACGAGCGAGCGCGAGTGGGTGGGTGGGCGGGCGCGAGAGAGAGAGTGCGACCAGTAATTCCCCGTGCCGCCTGGCCGACTGATTGCCGGTTGAGTTTACCGAGATTTTCCACGCTGCTTGCTGACACATCTCATCAGATCACGTTGGGACATTACACGCTGGGTTTTAGGTTGGAAGAGGAGGAGATTGGTGGGGGAGAAAGTAGCAGCTGCCGCATCTAGGAATGCCTGTGTTGAACCGTAGACAGTGGGGGCGTTGGGCAGACAGTGCCGTAAAGGAATATGCAATAAAAAAATGATCAGGTTTAATCTTCGAGATGCATACTTGGGCTGTATGGCCTGGGCTCTTGGATGTCAGTTTCAGACTCTTATTAGCCAGAAAGAGGTTTAAAAGTCAGTCGGGCACCCTGCCGTGATGTCGCTGGAGTGCACCTGCAATTATAAAATATTTAAAAATGAAGGTTCAAAGTTGTGTTGGGCAGCCAAACAGCATTGAGACTGGGTACATAACCAGCAAGAGCAGTACTGCGTTTTTCGAGTTTAAGCTTCTTTTGGATATTGAAGACATTGACTGGATTTACAAAGGATATCGATCAACGTATATCACAAAAAACACATGGGTCTCTTTTTATTTATACGTAGGATTTGTTTAGTTTTTATTTTCCAGCAAATGGCATTTCTCAAAGAATGTCGTTGTCCCACTTTTGCCACATCCTGAAACGCTTCCTCAAGTGTGAGATTTGGACATAGCTGCGACTGGACAAAATAGATCACGCCTTCGTTTACGTGACCAATAGGCCTCACCTTACTGTGACCTCTCAATGGCTTCTTGACAAAACAGAATCGGCAGCCACACGCTCGACACTGTCGGACGGATGCCTGTCCTCCAGGCCATCGGCATATCCCTCGTCCTGCCAATGCCACAATCCACCCCATGCCCGTGCATGAGAAACGTGCGAGATGTTAACTTCCTCGCCTGGTGTGTTGGATGCTGTGGGTTCGATGGCGACACCTGTATATTTGGAGTTTACACATTCTACCCGTGGTCACGTGGATTTTTCTCCGGGTCCTCTGCTTTTTCCCCTCCACATTTAGAAAGATGCGTTTCGAGTATTTTTTTTTTGCTATAAATTTCCACGTCATAAGCCACTTCGTTGAGCTGTCATTTGTGGCCCAGTCAATTCTGAAAAATAAGCTAATAGCTGTTTAAGCTTTACCTGGTAAGGTAATTATTTGCATATTTTTTGTACGCGATTTCTTTACATTTACTATACTTGGCACTCCTGTATGTTTGTTGAAATGTTATGATATGGCCATACTGGACATCTGTGACAAAGAGCTTTATAGTTTATCGGATTCCTCCAGTATAAATATTCGGATCTCATTGCTCCATCTCCACTGTGGTCATTCTCTCGGCCATGCTATCTCCTTTTACAACCATTCCATAACCCAATTTCTCCCATCTGCCACGTCATCCCTTCCAGCCGCGTGTTAGGGCGCTGCGGTGGCGAGACGTTAACTCCCTCGCCTGGCTTACAGGAGTCCGTGGGTTCGATCCCGACCCCGACGCCTGTATATTTGGAGGTGGTCGCATGGATTTTTCTCTGGGTCCTCCGGTTTTTCCCTCCGCATTTAGAATCAACACGCGTGAAAAAGAGCTTCATAGCTCATCGGATTCCTCCAGTATAAAGATTCTAAATTCTGATTTGCTCATACGGCTTTAACGGGTGCTTGCCAGCAGCTGGGTCGTCCTCCAGCTAATAACCTGATGCTTACGTCTGCGGCGTCGCGTGTGCCGGGCAGGTATATCGGGTGACAAGGTGGAGATTGACCCCGTGACCCCACAGAAGACCACTACCAAGTTCCTCTTCAAGCAGAAGCCGGTGTCGATAGACGCGGACCTCCTGTGCGCCTGCGACATGGTGGAGGAGAAGGCCCCAGGTACTCGGCATGCACGCACGTACTCGCCCATGTGCACGCCGGCCAGCCGGCCGAGTTGTCCTTCCGACAGCTGTTGCGAGCGCCAAGCTTACAGCTGTTGAGATAGTGATCCACTGCCCATTAATGCGAATTAGCTGTAATTTGACCAAATGGAAAATCGTTTTTTAGTGAATGCTTGGGGAGTCAAAATGGGTAGAGGAATTAGGCATGCAACGGCCTATAAAGTCACTTCCATTCTTACGCTCGCTATACCTGCGTCGAACCAGAAGTGTAAAATTATTTTTGATTCGTACGTGCTGTAATAGGATCACATGACCCGTCCAGCCACTAGAGGAGCTACATTTACAGCAAATTAAAGAAAAAGATACAACTTTGAATGGAGCTCTCTGGTCAATTGTTGTCTGGCAAAGTATTCTGTTTTCATATGAGCGTTGCGGCTCCATTGGTGGTTCTGACGACGAGTGGAAATTCCATATTTTCCAACAGCATATGATTAAATAAACAAATAATAAACCGTCATTTACAGCCCTTTTTTTGTTACTCCACAAATGGGTAAAGGCCCCTCCCCATGCCACGTCAGTCGTGAGAGTTGACCGAACTTCACGTTTGGTCAGTGCAGGGTTGGTTAAAAGGGGCATGGGCCCCCACAACTGGTTCGGATACCGCTCGCCACCGACCTTCGTCGTGGCCGCGATTCGAACCTCGGGGTCATTGGGATCACGGAGCGCTGGCCAGTGAACGGCAGGAACATTGCGGAAAAGTCGTTGGGACACTTGAAACCGATCCTGCTCTGCTCGTCGCCAATAAAAATCAGTTCGGTGCTGCAACAAAGTGCCACGTCAAGGAGTTGACCGCGATGATGCCTTCCTCTTCCTGGAACTCTCTCTAACCTCCGTCATCTATCCGCCCGCTCACCCGCCCGCTCGCCCGGCTCCCCACTCGCACGGTAAAAAAAAAAAAACCTGACGCTGCAGGTACCGAGCAGCATCTGATTGATGCTCGGGGCTTTGGAGGAAGAGAAGAGCGTTATTGTTAGCGTGCGTTTGTGCCAAGCCTGGACAATGCATGCAAACTTTTAGACCCGGTCACCTGTAAAGTCCCTGAATAGAGGAGAGTAGCGGAACCTGCATATATATATAAAAACAATCTTAGAGGCAGAACATTTTTTTTGGCGGGCTCATCTCGCTTGCGTCGGCATTCCGGTGACCTTGGGGGGGGGTCGACGATGGGATGTGGGGGCGGGTCGCCTTTGCTTAAAAGTCTGGGAGAAGAGTGCTCCTTGCGCGGATGCCGGATGTTTATAATACAGGGCCTAGGCGGCCCTTTTCTGATATCATATACGAGCCACAAAGATGCATTGGTGGGTGTAAACATGACGGCGGAACTAAAATGGAGTAGTTGCCCTGTGGGGGTAGTCCAGGCACTGCCACAGGAATATGGAATTTCCAGCACAGATTTTGCCACCCTATAGCATTGGAATGTTCGTCCCATCATCAGTTACATCGCATATTTTTTGTTTGATTTAAGTTCAACGTGTATTTTTCCTGAACATATTGGGGGAAACCGGGGGAGCCTGGAGGAAAATCCCCTCCACGCAGAATAGAGGGGAAGGCGTATCAACTCCACCCAAGAGGGCACCTCGCAGCCCTTCTCGCCGTGGGGCACGTGCGCGACCACTGCACCGCCCAGACGCCCGCAGAAGCGCACCGCTCCTGTGGCTTGCCCCTTCCGGTGTCGGTCGCCGACGCAGCGCGACGCTGTCCGAGCGGGGGGCGGCTTGTTGTCTCGCGGCACGACGCAGGCGGTGCAATGGCAGTATAATTTGAGGACTTGGTTTTTCTCCACTTCATAAAGGCACCACCTAGCGAGACCGGCGCGGTCGCTTTACTTTTTCCCCCTTTGCTGTCGCGACTCTGGGCCTGACGCCGGTGCGGCAATCGGTGCGAGGCAGCGGCCGGCGGCGGGGCCTCCGTTACGCTGGCGCCCGGTAACCTTTTCCGAGAGAGGGTAGCGCGTCTCGCGGGTTTTTAACTTTAATTGCGGTGTCCACCCGCCACCCGCGACCGCCCTCGCGCCCGCCCGCCCACCCCCAACGCTGTTGTCCGCTGCGCTATCTGCCGCCCGCCAATCGCTGACCCATCCCGCGCGGGTGACGGCACGGGCCACGACAGCGGCGTGATTGATTGTCTCGTCTCCCCCGGACGCTCGAGCGAGAGAGGCAGGGAGCCAGGGGAGAGAGAGAGAGGCAGGGAGCCAGGGGAGAGTGAGAGAGAGGCAGGGAGCCAGGGGAGAGTGAGAGAGAGCGAGAAAGCGTGAGAGTGTGAGCTGGGGAGTGAGAGAGAGAGCGAGTGAGAGTGTGAGCTGGGGAGAGTGAGAGAGAGCGAGTGAGAGTGTGAGCTGGGGAGAGTGAGAGAGAGCGAGTGAGAGTGTGAGCTGGGGAGAGTGAGAGAGAGAGAGAGCGAGTGAGAGTGTGAGCTGGGGAGAGTGAGAGAGAGCGAGTGAGAGTGTGAGATGGGGAGAGTGAGAGAGAGAGAGAGCGAGTGAGAGTGTGAGCTGGGGAGAGTGAGAGGCAGGGAGGCAGGGGAGAGTGAGAGAGAGCGAGAAAGCGAGTGAGTGTGAGCTGGGGAGTGAGAGAGAGAGAGCGAGTGAGAGTGTGAGCTGGGGAGTGAGAGAGAGAGCGAGTGAGAGTGTGAGCTGGGGAGTGAGAGAGAGAGAGCGAGTGAGAGTGTGAGCTGGGGAGTGAGAGAGAGAGCGAGTGAGAGTGTGAGCTGGGGAGAGTGAGAGAGAGAGCGAGCGAGTGAGAGTGAGCTGGGGAGAGTGAGAGAGAGAGAGAGAGCGAGTGAGAGTGTGAGCTGGGGAGAGTGAGAGAGAGAGAGCGAGTGAGAGTGTGAGCTTGGGAGAGTGAGAGAGAGCGAGTGAGAGTGTGAGCTGGGAGAGTGAGAGAGAGAGAGGCAGGGAGCCAGGGGAGAGTGAGTGTGTGAGTTGTGGAGAGAGATGAGTGAGAGGTAGTGAGAGATGAGTGTGACCTGGGGAGTGTGAGAGATGAGCGAGAGAGGCAGTGAGCTGGAGAGAGTGAGAGAGAGAGAGTGATGGAGAGTGTGTGAGTTGTGGAGAGAGATAAGCGAGAGGTAGTGAGGGATGTGTGACCTGGGGAGAGTGAGAGATGAGAGTGAGAGAGGCAGGGAGCCGGGGGAGAGTGAGTGTGTGAGTTGGGGAGAGATGAGCGAGAGAGGCAGTGAGCTGGAGAGAGTGAGTGATGGAGAGTGAGTGTGTGAGTTGTGAAGAGAGATGAGTGAGAGGTAGTGAGAGATGAGCGACAGAGGCAGTGAGCTGGAGAGAGTGAGAGAGTGATGGAGAGTGAGTGTGAGCTGGAGGAAGTCAGAGGATGAGTGAGTTTTAGCGGAGGAGAGGGGGAGATGAGAGTAAGTGTGAACTGGGGGAGGGTGCGAGTGAGTGTCGGAGGGAAAGTGAGAGAGCGTTTAAGCTGGAGAGAATGAGAGGGCGCGTGAGTGTGTGAGCTGAGGGAGTGATCGAGAGGGCAAGAGTGGCAGGGAGCTGGGGAATCGGAGAGTGAACAAGTGACAATGTGAGCTAGGGGAGAGCTGAGCAAGAGTGAGCGAGGTAGAACGAGAGGTCAGAGACGGTGACAGTGAGGGTGAATGAGTGAACGAAAGAAAGGTACAGACTGAGAGTGTGAAGTAGAGAAGTCAGAAAGTAGAGATACTGTATAGTGACTGCACTGGGGGAGGGGGGGTGAGAGCATGTGAGAGATTTGAGCTGGCGAGTGAGAGGTGAGTGAGAGATGAGAGAGGGGGTGAGTGAGCTGGGATGAGAGATGAGAGAGGGGGTGAGTGTTAGCTGGGGAGAGAGATGAGAGATGAGAGAGGGTGAGTGAGCTGGGGAGAGAGATGAGGGGCTGAGTGAGCTGAGGGGGGTGAGAGAAGAGAGAGGGTGAGTGAGCCGGGGAGCAAGAGCGATGAGAGGGAGTGAGGCAGAGCAGCAAAATGAATGAGATTGGTAGATACTACGAGTGAGTGTGAGAGGACAAATGCGAGAATCTCAGAGAGTGTGAAGTAGAGAGAGAATGACAGATGAGAGCAGGGAGACACAGCGGCCGAATAAGAGTGAACAAGGGAGAGATAAATGAGAGGTTGAGAGCGAGCGAGGAAGAGTTAATGAGGGAGTATGAATGAGAGCGAGGGGGAAACGGCGAGCGAGCGGGAGATGGACGGGAGCGAGCAAGTGGGAGAGTGATTGAGGAAGAGGAGGGGAATGAGAGCGGCGGGGAGAGGGTGCCCGAGAGCGCGCTGCACTGAGGTCACGGGGAGCGCCGCTCCGTCACACGCATCCTGGTTGTCGCTCGGCTCGCGCACGCGTTGGGATCGCGGGGTTTTGTTTTTTTAATTGAACGTCAGCAGCAAAAGGAGAAAGGGTGGCAAGTGGCGAAAGTGTACACGTGTATACCTGCCTGTCTGCCCGTCTGTATACCTGCTTGTCTGCCCATCTGCCCGTCTGTATACCTGCTTGTCTGCCCGTCTGTATTTCTGCCAAACTGCCAGTGTCTGTCTTTGCGTCAATTTGTCTTGGCCTGCCTTTTCCTGCCTGCTTTGTGTGTCTGTCTGTCCGTCTGCCTGTATCCGCTACCTGCCTTGTCTTTTCCACTCTTGCTTCCCTGCGTGTCCCCTTTCTCTCATGCCTGTTCTCTCCTCTGCCTCTTTTTGTGGCAGCGAAGAACACGGGCGTTCACCGTCTGCCATGTTCCGCGTGCGCTTTTGTGGTCTAGTTTCGACCGTGTCCTTCGCGTGTATCTGTCTCTACCCTTCCACTCGGCACTGGCACCGAGGTGGAGTAAACGATCTCCTTGCTTGTACTCAGCCGAAGGATATATTGGTGCGGCGTGCTTTCTTTGGGTGCACTTTGCGCGCACGCGGTCGCGTCCCTCCCGAATGAGGCTTAAATATCAATGGTCTCGCGAACGTTCGCAAAACCGTTGAAGGAAG